AAGAAGCTTAAATTAGATGTTGGGCGCTATGCACAAATGTTATCTTTCTGAAAAAAAGGAATGTGCTAAGCGAACTGGTAAATTAAAATGTCTTGTTTATTAAAATATAAAATTGATTTGATAAGTTAATTAACTTAATATACTTTTTTTAAAAGAAAGACATAGACCGTCCATATAAAAGTCCATATAAATGTTAAGAATTTAAGTTTTTAAACAAAATATTATTCTTAGTAGTTTAAAGCCGAGCTTATTGAGAGAAGTGTTTAATACTGCAGCTGCAAGCACTTTTTACATTTCCCAAAATGCCAAAAAAATCGCCAAAAAGCTTACTTATAACTGGTATCGCTAGGGAGCAATATATATATGCCTCACTTAAGATTCACTTTATATAATATATGTCTTTTAAAAATATATATATATTTTGTCAATAATACTTCAAAAAATGTTATTAATTTTTTTTCTGTTAATTGTGAAAATATAATTCGAATGAATACAATTTATTATATTAAATAATTTACTCTGATTTATACTGTTTTAATTAAAAATAATTGTAACAAATTGCTAAAAATGATTATTGCCGCTACTTACACACATCTAACCTAACACTTAGTAATATAAACATCATTATTAACATTACATCCTTTCACATTTTTCACATGAAAAGAGTGATATTATCGTAACACTAATTCATTAATTAAAATGAAACCAACCTAACCAGCTAATGAGCTGAATAAGACATTTACCATTCCTCTTCTGCGTTTCTCTTGCCTACATCTTGCCACCAACAATTGTAAGACTTTTACAATGTAACGAAAAATGTTGCTCAACATCAAGTAACAAAATCCGTTCCTTATAATAATTAGAAATAAAAGTAATTTTATACAAATTGGCTGGTGGTATAAATGCTTTTGTATATATGTGTGTCTAAGGATGTGCTTGGGTACAAATGTCAAGCATATGTGTAACATTCACCCCACAGCCCTAGTCATTAGGCAATTAATTAAGAACTTCTGCTACGTTAATTTTGTATGGCTGTGTATGTCTCAAATGCTTTGTCCTTGTGTGTAATTTCCTCATATATTTCACTTATTGCCTGTGGCGTTCGTGGTCCTTTTCTTAACCCGTTACTTGCTTTCTTATTCTTAATGCGCTCTCAGTTCTTCATGCGACTTATTTTCGAAATCATGCTTTTTCAGAAAATATCCTTAAAGTTCAGTGGCTGCAACACGAGTTAAGAGAAAAGTGAAAGGTTGAACTGCAAATTGCTTGGTTGGTTGTCGGGTTTGTTTGTGTTGAAACATAGTGCCATTTTGGCTCGGAAAAATGAGTTCGCACATTTGTAAATTATTTTTTTTTTATTCATTTGTGTGATATATGGTTGTCATTTGGTTAAAATATTTTTTATATTTCAGCAAATTATAAAGATAATGTTCTGCTTTAATTTTGGTAAACTTTGTTTACTTTATATTATATATGAAATAACAAAATAAATAAGATTTTTAAAAAAGTAAAATTTTAAAACTTCGCTTTAGTTTTTCCATATAATTTATTCTATGATTTAATAAGTGATTGAATAGAATATAGCATAATAGAAATTGCAACATTAGCCGATTTTTCATGCTAAAACTGACTTTCATTAATTGGGAGACATTCCGCTATCAGTTCAATGTCCAGTACGTCATCTATTTATGAGTTTATAAATTCAAACTGACATAGAAGCCTCTTTTATAGAATCATCGTGCTAGTTTTCTTCTTTACAGAGCTGAAATCATCACACTGGATAGACTTATTCCGTTGAGATGATCGCATAGATTGCGTTATCTTGTGTTGGACAAGTCCCCATTACATTAGCTCTCTAAGAATAAAGTATATAGATATCTTCTTGATATCTTAATATTCAGATGTCTGAGTTGGTGAATCAGCACCTTTACTCTATTTTATCTGTGGACAGTTTTAAGTCACACTAAGAATAACTGAATACGGGGCTTTATAATATGATAGATCTGATGTCTTTGTATCTGCCTGTGTTTATCAAATTTCGCTGTATGTTTAGGATGCTGAGTGTTGGATTATTGTGACTGTCAATTATATTGAACTGGGGCGTTAACCAGTTCTCTTAAGGCAATATTTTGCCCTCTTTGAAGAATTTTTAAAGTTGAGTTTGGCGCTTGGCAAAACGTAATACTGCCATAGAGTAGTCCTGGTTCAATAATCTGCTTAAATATGCTAACTCTATTCTTTATGTTGAGTTTTTTGCTGCTGATGAGCGGGTGAAGGGAGTGTAATATTCGGACAGCTTAAGCTCGTTTGGACTTGAAATGTGCTTTCCAGGAGTGCTTGTTATCAAAGGTTATGCCTATGTATTTGAGAGTATCGGCCCATTCTATTTCTTGTTGTTCTACCATTAATTTTCTGGGTGCTTGGCAGAAAATAATATAAATTTAACACCAAATTACTTTTATTTACCTGTATCCTGCTTAGGAACATATTGGAATATATTAATAATCAGCAATGTACATTTTGGTCTATACTATTCAAATGTAATTTATAGTTATTTAACTATAGAGTAGATATTTTAGTGCTGTTATATTGCTTTCTAATGTTTAATTAAAGCGCAATAATTTCTTTTATTATTCCCTACATTTTTTAAGGTTATTATGTTACCGTTTAAAAACAAAGGGCTTAAAATTATTTTAAATCTTAAATGAGGCCTAAGTTAGTTTTTAGGAAGAGATTGCATAGTTGATTGATATCCTCTACAGATTAAGTATCTTAACATATATTACTATAAGACGAATACTCTTAAAGGGAATTTGAAAGATTAAACTAAATTTTCTATTAGATATAGCTGGATTTTTTCAACTGAAAAGATCTTATTTTCGCTTGAGTATTAATATAGTTATGAAATTATTCATATATACAATTATCCTTATGTAAAATGTAATAGATACATCAAGATTCTTTCTATTAAAGTAGGTTTAATTTGCTCTTGAAATGCCTGCATATAGTTTAAAGGTATCTACGAGTATTCTTATTAAAAATCGAAAAGATATAACTAATTTTTTTCTATTTCGGAAGCTTCAATTTGCTCGAAAGATATCTGTATATATGTTTATAATTCCCATCTTGTGTTTTACACATCATTAATCAACTTCTCAAATGTCAGTTTATAATTAAAACATCACCAAAAATAATAATAAGTTAACTATTTTTTCTGTTTTTGTCGCACTACAAATGCGACAAAATAAGAAATGCACTTGACAGTTGAATATGTTATTTCACAGATGCACTTTTACGTATCTACGCGTGTGCATTTGCATTTGCATTTGCATCGACAATTAGTGCACTAAACTGTTCCATGCGAAGTGCGACTGTTTCTGTTGTTGACAAAATTTGGGTCAGCTTAACAGTGAGCATTGCAGAGTGGAACTGTTGAGATAAAAGTATATATGCATTAAACGAGCAATAAACATACACCAAAAATTATAGTGTTTAGCTGAAAACTCATACACCATATAAAACGATTTATGTGTGTGCTGAAATGACAATATGGGTTTGAAAAATGAATGCAGTTCTTGCACC